AGAGAAGTAACTAGTAATGTAACTAAGTTACTATTTTAAAGTAACTTACCCAACACTGCATATAACAAAACAAAAACTGGGAACTAGAAAAAACAAACTCAGATGCATTAGAGAACACACTTAAAGACAGAACTAATACAGAACTAAAGTATATGAAAATCTCTTAAAATAAAAAGAATGAATCACAATACCACAATACACTGTAAAACCCTGCTGAAGACCCAGGAGTATGACACAAACCAGTCACCTTTAATGTGTCTTCACTTTGTAGCATGGGAGAGAGGAGACCCACCCATGAATAAATATCTCAAACCATACTGGATTTATCTTCCTCATTGTCTCCTTCCTAACTCAGCCATCATCCTTACACAAGCCAAAGTACTGGACACTCAAAATTAAATTCATTGTGTGTTCAGATATGATAGCAGTGAAGATTATTACAGTAGTTGCTGTGACTAAAATCACCCCACCCTCCTATTAATTTCACCCATTTGTCTGAGTGAATAAAATGTTGAATCAGATTTTTCCAGGTAATTAATATCTCTGCCGTCAATAAGTTATATGAATCAATTTAATGTTTTAGCTGTTAGGAGTATTAAAAAAAGTCCACCTTCCTTAAATTTGTTATAATGGAGGAAATTTTTCTCAAAGTACAGGAGTTTAACGTTTAACGTGCTCTGTAATGCTGTAAAATTTGACACTTTTGGAATAAGCCTCAAGAGGTCATTGGGGGAACTGCAATTTTTGGCACTTTGGCATTGGCTTTACCTTTCAGCACCGTATGATGTGTCTTTGACAAACAAACAATTCTAAAAGTTCAGTCAAAAAATGTTTGTTGCTTAGTGCTCAAATTTGACAGCTTTATATGAGGGTAATTCTGTAAGTTTATAAAATTAAATACTGTAAATTAATTTTTTTTTTCTTTTTGCTTGTTTGTGTTGTTATGGTCATTAAAAAAAATACTTTTTACATTTTTTCTTCAGCCTGTACACTGCTTCCACTTTTCTTTCCCCAAGAGCTTTAGGTCGCCTGCTTCACAGAAAAACAAAATGTGTACAGTGAAAATTACTCTGAGAACATATAGACAGGATAAAGCAATCAGTTGATATCCTCAAAGCTAAGAAAAGTTTATTTTAGTATTTGCATCACTAACGTTTGTTTGTTGTTCTTGTTTGTAGACCTTGTAGACCTTGTGTGGTTCTGGTCACCACCCTAAAGGGCATGTCTCAGGTCTTCTTAAGCATAGCTGTTCCCTCGCTTTGTTGCCATCCAACTACAATTCTCTAGTACGAATGACATTCCAGTGTTGTTGCTGTAGATCCTAGTGGTGTTCATTAGTAAATCAATGTCACATTTACTCCTGTCATCCATATAGAAGAGGTGGGTAACAATTCTTTCATTTTGTAGTTGGTATCTGTAGCCAGTCTTGTCAATGATTTGGCTGACATGGTTTAGGCCTTTGCACCACATCCCAGTCGATGAAGGCTCTTACAGTATGGTCCTGTTGATCTTGTATAGTTCAAGGCATTCCATGTGTGAGGCATTGAATCATAGGCTTTTCAGGGATCAATCATTGCACAGGTTGGTCAGTCTGGTCTTGCAGTTTCAGGTAACTGCTCTATCTACCAGTAGCTGGTGTTTTGCCCCTCTGGTGTTTCTACCATTCTCTTTCTGTTCCATGTGCATGCCATAAGTCTACTATGATGCTTGACAGGAGCTTCCATATGGTACTGAGGAAGGTTATTGGCTGGTAGTTGGATGGGACCGGTTCCTTCTGGGGTCCTTAAAGATCAGGACTTTTCCGGCCTTTAGTTAGCCATTCTGGGTATCGCTCATCAACTAGCAGCTGGTTCATTTGTACTGCCAGACACTCATGGAATGCAGTCAGCTTCTTCGGTCAGTAGACGTTGTTGGGATTTAAATATATATTCTTAGTGCTTATTTGCTGATTATATTGTTTTATGTATTTTAATAAGAGAGAGTCAACTTTGAGTGTAAACTAGGTCGCAGGCTGACAGGAAACTGCATGCTTTTGCAGAGCACAGGAGGTGCAGACAGAAAGTGAAACTAAGCAGAGTGTTTTGATCGAAACTATATGTGACGTAGCAGAACTATATATACACATTGTTAAATCGAGTTCTTTGCATTCTTTTGGCAGCGAAGAAAAACACGGCTAAAAGTGGTCTAAGTCAAAAAAGGATCTTTGTTTTACATTCCCGTGAATAGGGAGCTGCTAGGCGCTCTCATGCCCCAACAGCTCTGAAACAAATCACCAAAAGGAATCTGTATGTTCGTTTTTTTCTCGAGGGTCGGAGCTTCACCGCGTACGCCGATCATAAACCCTTGACATTCGCGATGTCCAAGGTCTCTGCTCCGTGGAGCGGGCGCCAGTTGGCAGCCATTTCCGAGTTCACAACTGACATTCAGCACGTGGCTGGTAAGTCCAACTGCGTGGCTGACTGTCTATCCCGCATGCTGGTTTCTCCCGTTTATGTTGGCATAGACTTTGAGGCTATGGCCGCTGACCAACAGGCCGACCCGGACGTCCTTGCCCTTCGGTCTGCGTAAACGGGCCTTGTACTGGAGGACTGACCCGTGTGGAACGGCGGGCCTAGCCTGCTTTGTGATGTTTCCACCAGCCATCCACGCCCTGTAGTCCCCCTTTCGTGGCATCGTGGCGTTTTCGACTCCGTACACGCCCTCTCACATCCAGGCGTCCGGGCCTCGGTCTAGGTTTGTTTGGCCTTCGTAAATCTGTGAAAGACTGGGCTGCCGCGTGCATCCCATGCCAACGTGCTAAGATCCATAGGCACACACAGGCGCCCCTCGAATCCTTGCGCGTTCCAGGGAGGCGTTTTGATCATGTGCATGTGGATCTGGTTGGTCCTCTGCCGCAGTCACAAGGTTTCATGCACCTTTTGACTGTAGTGGACCGCACAACCCGCTGGCCCGAGGCAGTGCCTCTGGCGTCCACTACAGCAGCAGCAGTGGCCAGGGCATTTTTGTCAACGTGGGTTTCGCGTTTCGGTCCCCCCGCCGACATCACCTCAGACAGGGGCCCCCAGTTCGTTTCCGAGATTTGGTCTGCCATGGCTGACGGCCTGGGGGTCAAGGTCCACCGAACCACTGTGTACCACCAACGGGATGTGCGAACGTTTCCACCGGTCGCTTAAGGCCGCGTTCCGTGCTTCTCTCATAGTTGGCAACTGGGTTGACTGCCTTCCATGGGTTTTACTGGGGTTGCGGTGCGCGGTTAAAGAAGACCTCGGGGTTTCCCCGGCTGAACTTGTCCTCGGTAAGCCCCTCTGGGTCCCTGGGGAATTCTTGCCCGAGAGCCCACCCCTGTGCTTCATTCCCTCTGTGCTGTCTCTCCATCCCCCAAGAGACTCGTTTTCTCTTCCTGGCCCAGTGCACCATTGTCTGCCCGACACCTTTGTTCCGAGGTCGTTGGACTCTTCGCAGTTTGTTTTTGTCAGGCATGACGCTCATAGGCCTCCGCTGTGTCCACTGTATGACGGCCCCTTTAGGGTTCTTCAACCAGGCCGGAAGCATTTCCTTTTGGACTTTGGGGGTCGGCAGGAGGCTGTTTCTATTGACAGACTTAAACCAGCACATGTGCTTCTGGATGATCAGGTGGTCCCGGCTCAGGCCCCCCGCCGTGGCCGCCCGCCTTCCACTGGACTGGACAACCCTGCTTCTGAGGATTTGATTATTCCTATAGGGTAAAGGATAGGATAATTATAAGCCACAAGGCTTCAGCATATTCCTTTTTTGGTTACTGTATGATTGAGTACTTTTATGTAAAATGATAATCTGTGTTGTTGTTGTTGACCAAAATAAATTTCACTTCACTTTTACTTTTAAAGTTCTATAACTCAAAGAAGGAAACACGTCTGTAACACTAACATCCATGGTATGTTCATTTCTTTTACCTCGAAAACTGTAAAGCAAACATGTGTGAATCACAACAGAAGGAAATTGATTCAAATTCATTATACATTATTATGTGTTGGTTTAATCTTAACATTTGAACAATTTTATATCATATTTTTAATTTCTTACAGGGAGGTGAAGGGGGAGGTGGAATACCTGCAATTAAAATATGACAATGTAGCAACATGTTAGCAACACCTTTTCCTATTCACTATTACTTTATATGTAATTTATTTCCTTATGTCCATGTTCAGATCCAAAGTACATGATGGTATCTTTTCCATTATGAAATCAAATCATCATAAAAACAAATCTGCTTACCCCAAACAGATTTTATATTTTTCCAAACGAAGCTCATGTTTTTTTTGTACTAACTACATGTTGGTAATAAAAAGCAAGCTGAAGAAAATAGTGAAGTCTTTAAATTCTAGAAATTAAGTCTTTTAACTTGACACATACTAGTGGCTTGTTACACATGCAGACTTCTGGATGTTAGAAGGGAATTTATATTGTTTATGAATAGGACTAAAGACAGGAAGGTGTCTCTTTATAACTAAAAATGTTAATGTCAGGTTGCAAATTTTGAAACCAATATGATAAGCTATTAAAATCAAATCACTCAAAGAAATCCTCTGGAATAGGAGTAGAATTCTTAATGTTGTTCGAATGTAATTTACGTTGAGTAGGCTAACCACGTTATTACATTAATGCATGTAAGGTGAACTAGCAAACACCATCATAGCTACATGCGGCTGTCTTCTTGTTTGATGGCAGATACTCCCTTCACCCTGGCCAAAAAGGCTAAAATGACCAAAGAAAAAGTAGGTTTTTGGACAAAGTTTGTGTTTTTTCCATTGTTTAAGCACTGCTTCCAGCCAAGAGTGATACCATATATGCCCCATAGCTGCAGAAAAGGCTGTTATCTTTTACAACAAACAGCTGAACATGAGAAATTTTTTAGACCAATTTTGTGTTCTCCATTCTTTAAGCCCCGGTTTGAGCACCGTTTAAGCACCGGCACCGTTTCAAAAGTACCAATTTGGCACCGGGATTGGATAAAACCTAAACGATACCCATCCCTAATAGTATATATGATTACAGTAT